ACCCCTAAACCCTAAACCCTAAACCCTAAACCGTAAACCCTAAACCCTAATCCCTAAACCCTAAACCCACATGATGCCCAGGAGAAGCCAGAGGCCTTGATTGTTGTCGAGGTGGCCCTGTCCGGCTGCAGGGTTTAGGGTTTAGGGTTCAGGGTTGAGGTTTTAGCGTTTAGCGTTTAGGGTTTAGGGTTTAGGGTTCATTAATGGTTTAGGGTTTGGGGGTTCAGCCCAACGCCCCCCTCCCCCCCCCTCGGTTTCGGGTTTAGGGTTTGGGGTTTAGGGTTTGGGCCGAAGAGCACACCCCAAACCTTGAACACGCCGACTCAGTCAAACTCAGTGGCCCAGAAAACTTACCCGAAAACTAAATGCCCCGAATGCCTGGGTTTTGGGTTCAGAGTTGAAGCCTTAACCCCCAAGAATCTCAACCCTAAACTTTAAGGGGTCTGGGAAGGGAGCTCAAAACTCTAGAAGCCAACAACCCTGAAAGCCCTAAACCCCAAAAACCTTGAACCCTACAACCTAAAGCCTGCACCCTAAACCCTAAACCCTAGACCCTAAATCCCTAAATCCCTAAATCCCTAAATCCCTAAACCCTAAACCCTAAACCCTAAACCCTAAACCCTAAACCCTAAACCCTAAACCCTAAACCCTAAACCCTAAACCCTAAACCCTAAACCCTAAACCCTAAACCCTAAACCCTAAACGCCCCAGAAGAGGGCCTGGATTTCTCCACCGACCTGCGTGGCGCTCGACAGCGGCCCTTGCACCGAGAGGCGCCTCTGCGTAACCGACGCCCGGCCACGGTTTAGGGTTTAGGGTTTAGGGTTTAGGGTTTAGGGTTTAGGGTTTAGGGTTTAGGGTTTAGGGTTTAGGGTTTAGGGTTTAGGGTTTAGGGTTTGGGGTTTAGGGTTTAGGGTTTCGGGTTTAGGGATTTGTGATTTAGGGATTTAGGGATTTAGGGTCTAGGGTTTAGGGTTTGGGGTTTGGGGTTTAGGGTTTAGGGTTGAGGGTTGAGGGTTTAGGGTTTAGGGTTTAGGGTTTAGGGTTTAGGTTGGGAGGTTCATGGTACTTATTAACCAATTATGACTGTACTTATAGCCCACTTATGAGCCCCTTCAAGTGCCCCAATATGGGTATATAAGTACAGTGATACCATGAAGGTGTGATGTGGGGGTTGACTTAAGCAGCACCCTAAACACTAAACCCTAACCCTGAACCCTAAACCCTAAGCCCGAAACCCTAAACCCGAAACCCTCTGACCCCAGGTGTGGTCTATGAGGCCCATGACTACTGCTGGTACCACGTCAACTTCTTCCGAGCGTGGATGATATATTGGTTCCTGGGCCTTGTCAGAAATCCCCCCTAAAGAAGCAGAGGTAACCCTGAACCTAAACCCGAAACCCTAAACCCTGAACCCTGTGAGTTAGAACAGGAGAGGGGTAGGTACAATCTATGATGATGAGGTCATCTCCCTATTTTTGTAAGGGTACGTTGCTCTGGTTTGGGGTATATAGCCGGGCGCTGGCCGAGCGTTCAGCGAGGGAGCCCAGGCGGGCGACCGAGCCAGCCTCCAGGCTGCCTACTTATCAAGGCACAGACCGGGCTTTTGGGCTTTTGGGCTTTTGGGCTTTTGGGCTTTTGGCTTTTGGGCCTTTGGGCTTTTGGGCTTTTGGGCAGGTTCCTGAGAAGTTTGGGCTCTGGCCCCTACAAGGCGCCCCAGTGGCCCGAGTGACCCCAGCACCCCAGTCACCCCAAAGTCCCGTGATCACCAGAGGCCCAAGTTCCAGGTGATCTTCCAAGCGTTCCCGAGCGACACAAATGTCTTTCGTGAGTCCAAACGACGGAAGTGTCCCAAGTGTCTTGAGTGTGACCAAATGACCTAAGCGACCCGAGTGCATCCCAAGTGATTCAGCGTTCCTTTACGACCCCGTAGAACCACCACTGGCAGTGACGTAAGTGCACAAGTGTCCCAAATGACCAAGTGAATGAAGTGTCCCAAATGACCCTAGAAACCTTACGCTATCAAACTCGCCTTGCATCAAGAATACCTGTTGCTTTGTAAAGAAATGGGGGTTTACGCAAATAAGGGAACCCGAATAAAGATCTCGGAATCGTACCCCTAATGTCGTAAACCCCCCAAGTAACACCTAAACCCGAAACCCTCGAAATCCCTAAACCCTAAACCCTAAACCTAAACCCTGAACCCTAACGCGCTGCAAGCGGGCCAAGGCTCTCCATGGGCTGGGCTGCGCAGGTCGTTTGGCGGCTCTTCATGCGAAGATCCGCGAAAACGAGCTGGATCCTGAGCGTACTTTCAGGGCGTGTAGGGTTTAGGGTTTAGGGTTTGGGGTTTAGGGTTTAGGGTTTCGGGTTTAGGGTTTAGGGTTTAGGGGTTTAGAGGGTTTCGGGTTTTAGGGTGTTGAGAGTCTGTGGGATTTGCGGAGGCGGCAGCGCTTTCTCGTTCGGCGTGCTACTTGTAAAGAACATGGCTGGTGTTGGAGGATGAGAAGGAGGATGGGGTCAGGAGGAGGATGATGAGGAGCAGCAGGATGGAGAGGGCAGGGAGGATTATGATAGCGATGTTCTCCACGCCTGGGCCTAGACCTTAATCCCTAAACCCTACACCCTAAACCACGTCTGCGAAGATGTGCTGGGAGTAGGGAACCTTGTCATTATGGCCTGTAGCAACTCTGCAGCCAGTAGTCCCAAAGAGCTTGCCGCTTGCCGCCCTGACCCTAAACCCTATACCCTAAACCCTAAACTCTAAACCCAAACCCAGAGCCTCGTCAGGCCCGTCGCACGACAACGTGCCGACGCGTTCGGGGCCAGCGTGCGGAGGTCACTGGGTTCAGGCTTCAGGCTTGATGTTGGAGGCTTTATACTTGCAGTTCTTGTGGGTTGGGTTTAGGTATGTTCTTGGAGTGCAGGTGGTTGGAGTCTGTCTGGTACTTGTTAAGGGCCTGCGTGTTTGTTTGAAAGTTCGGGTTCAGGTCTCACAAAAAGGATGTAGAGATTACGCGCCGGACTGGGTCTCACACGACTTGAGAATCCTTAAGCACTAACACCTGATGTAGCTACGGCACCTCAACGCCCAAGCGGAAACCGAAGCCCAATGCCCCAAGATCCCTAAACCCTAAACTCGAAACCCGAAACCCGAAACCCTAAACTTTAAATCCTAAAGCGCTGGAAGAGCTTTGGCGGCAGGAGCGCTGTCCACAAAGATCTTGCTCACCATGAGCGCGTTCGCCTTCATGATTAGTTGCTGGTGCCTTGGCGATGCACCCAAGAAAGCCCAATACAGAACCCCCCCTGGAATAAGTAGGGAATGAGGGAATGAGGCACCCCCTAAGCCCCAAAACCCACAACCCTAAACCCTAAACCCGAAACCCTAAACCCTAAACCCTAAACCCTAAACCCTGAACCCTGAACCTTGAACCCTAAACCCTAAACCCTAAACCCTAAAACAAGCTGGAGGACTGTCTCCTATTCAGCCTTCCGTGCCAAGCTGGATCATCGCTGGGGCTGCTTGTCCCCGAGTGCCGTCGTGGGCGGTTTACCTAGGGTTTAGGGTTTAGGGTTTAGGGTTTAGGGTTTAGGGTTTAGGGGTTAGGGGTTAGGGTTTAGGGTTTAGGGTTTAGGGTCTAGGGTTTAGGGTTTAGGGTTTAGATTTTGGGGCTTCATGGGAGCTGCTAGATAACGGTGCGGAGTGCACAGTGCATGCATTGCTTAACTATACCTCAGTGTCCCCAAAGAGCACCCTAAACTCCAAACCCTAAACGCTAAACCCAAAGCCCAAAACCCAAAATCCAACACCCTAAGCCCTAAGCCCTAAGCCCTAAGCCCTAAGCCCTAAGCCCTAAGCCCTAAGCCCTAAGCCCTAAGCCCTAAGCCCAAAGCCCGAAACCCTAAACCCTAAACCCTAAACCCTAAACCCTAAACCCTAAACCCTAAACCCTAAACCCTAAACCCTAAACCCTAAACCCTAAACCCTAAACCCTAAACCCTAAACCCTAAACCCTCAGTCGCAGTTCAGGATTCCTTCTGGACGGCGTGGCGCCCTCAGGCTTTCTCTCGCGTGGTGTGGCGCAAGGGGGCGTAGGGCCTTACACCAAAAAGCCCTAAAATCCACAACCCCAAGCCCCTGCCACCCTAAACCCTAAACCCTGCCACCCTAAACCCTAAACCCTAAACCCTAAACCCTAAACCCTAAACCCTAAACCCTAAACCCTAAACCCTAAACCCTAAACCCTAAACCCTAAACCGCTCAAGGAGGCGCCTGTGTGGCTTGGCGAGTTTGGAACCAACGGCTACTGGATTACAGACAGCTGGTCCGCGGAGGCCATTGGGTTTAGGGTTTAGGGTTTAGGGTTTAGGGTTTGGGGTTTGGGGTTTTGGGGTTAGGGTTTGGGGTTTAGGGTTCAAGATTTAGGGTTTGGGGTTTGGGTTTAGGGCTTGGGGTTTAGGATTTAGGGTTCAGGATTTAGGGTTAAGGGTTCAGGATGTTAGGGTTTGGGTTCAGATTTAGGGTTTGGGGTTTAGGGTTTGAGGTTCCCAGGATTTCCAAGAGTTCATGGATTCTCTCTCAGCGTCTTAGGGTTCTTGGCGCCTGCATTCCCACATTAAACCCTAAACCCTAAACCCTAAACCCTAAACCCTAAACCCTAAACCCTAAACCCTAAACCCTAAACCCTAAACCCTAAACCCTAAACCCTAAAACCTAAAACCTAAAACCTAAACCCCAAACCCCAAACCCCAAACCCCTAACCCCAAACCCAAACCCCAAACCCCAAACCCCAAACCCCAAACCCTAACTAAACCCTAAACCGTAAACCCTGGAGGTTGGCGAAGTGCTCTGGCTCAGCCACATCCTGCGATACATGCCCCTTGGCCGCCTCGGCTCCAAAATGGAGTACGTCCCTTCTTTCTGCCCCGAATTATGGTCGAACTTCGGCGTCTCCACTGTCTTGTGGGGACATAGGCTACCCATCAGAATCCCTTAAATAGGCAAACAACAAAGGGGGAGAATAAGGTACCAAGATCCCCTCATCCCTTATGACGAGTAGGTTTAGGGGTCTCTTTCTGGACATCTTCGTCCTCGGCACCACTCGAGGCATGAGCGGGACCTGGACTATGCTTACTGGGCGCTGAATGGCCCTTAGGCTGCAGATGTGTTGTGACCCTGAGCCCAAGCCGCAGCCCAAACCCTAAACCCTGAACCCTAAACCCTAAACCCTAAACCCGACACCCTAAACCCCAAACCCCAAACTCTGCAAGCGTTGGGCATATAGACTTCAACCCCAGCACGAAAATGCTCACGCCCTAGAGGCCCCTGCCATGTAAAGGCCAGCAACAAAGCCCTCAGCCCCAGAACTATGTAGGGCTTATATGATATGGGTTTAGGGTTTAGGGTTTAGGGTTTAGGGTTTAGGGTTTAGGGTTTAGGGTTTAGGGTTTAGGGTTTAGGGTTTAGGGTTTAGGGTTTAGGGTTTAGGGTTTAGGGTTTATGGGTTTAGGTAGAGCCCTTCTTGTTGGGCCAATGTTCAGGCGATAAGGCAGGAGACGATGACGAGACTTTCGGGCTCTTGATGCAGGACGCAAGGGCCGAATCAACGTCTCGATGCCGAACGGCCACTTCTATAAGTTGTGGTTGACGGTTTTCAGGTGTCGAGTTGAGCCCCACTTTAAACCCTTACCCCTATGGTCACGGGGTCAAAAGAAGGGACCACAACGTAGAGCACTGACCTGATAGCCCTGCAGCCAGGCACAGGTAGGACAGTCGGCGCCTGTCCCACTACATCTCAGGGTCGTGCGACTTTGTTCAGCACCTAAACCCTAAACCCTAAACCCTAAACCCTGAACCCTGAGCCCTGAGCCCTGAACCACAACCCTACCTAATGGAATCGGCACCCAAGGCCTAAAGTCTACCGACCCGACAGCGGCTATGCTACTTGGAGGTTCACGAGTACCTAGAAGCACCCTAGAAAAAGTTATTACCGCAGTTTCTCTACTTCTAACCCTACGTAAAACAGTATCTTGAACCCCAAACCCTAATTCCTAATTCCTAAACCCTAAACCCTAAACCCTAAACCCTAAACCCTAAACCCTAAACCCTAAACCCCTAAACCCATGACAAGTACCCTTTTGAACCTCCACCTGGGCTTGACTTTGGCCCAAGGAACCTGGCCGTCCCACTGCAAGATGCCCTGTCGAAAGCCACCAAGGGTCTAGGGTTTAGGGTTTAGGGTTTAGGGTTTAGGGTTTAGGGTTTAGGGTTTAGGGTTTAGGGTTAGGGTGCGAAATCCCCCCCCCCCCCCTCAGTTTCGTCCTCCTTTGCCTTGCCGCGGCCATGGAGTTCAACCTAACAGTTGCCCTGCTCAGCGGGCAGAGGCAGATGGGTTCAGGTTTTTTTGTTTAGTCATGGGTTTCCCTACTACCCCCCTGTATAGTCTATATAACCCCCCCCGAGGTTCCCCCCTTAAACAACCTAAATTAGGCTTAAGTATCCCTAAATAGCTTTTGTGATGGGGGGGAACCTAGGTAGTCGGGGAACCCATGATTTGGGGTCAAGTTGGATCTCTGTCAGAGCATGTTCTTCATGGTTCAGGGTGTCAGAAAGGGGTTTACGCTTTTGACCGCCATGTGCATGTCGCTCGAAGCACGTTGGGGCGTCTGTTTTGTGACCCTTCTGAAACCGGAGCTCTAAGTAGGCTAGACCCTCTAAGTAACCTAGACCCCGAAACCTCCCTAAACCCTAAACCCTAAACCCTAAACCCTAAACCCTAAACCCTAAACCCTAAACCCTAAACCCTAAACCCTAAACCCTAAACCCCAAACTCCTCAACCCTCACTCAGCCTTGAACCTTAACACCCAAAAAGCAGCTCTCCGAAGCCTCAACCCCCCCCCCCCCGAGCCTAAGCCAGGGCGGAGATTGCCTTGGCGTCCGACCGCCCTGTACATGCCCTTCGCCGCCTTGCGGAGGCGTCCTTCGGACGCCCGTTGAAGGCTCGAAATTTGAGGGTTCTTGAGGGAAGCGGGGGGGGGGGGGTCAAGGGGGGGTTTACAACCCAAGGTTTCCTAATGCTCCCTCCTCCCTAAGGCTCCCTAAGCTTCCCTAAAGGTCCCTGGGTACCTACCCCCTTTGAGAACCCTTAGGAACCCTATAATCAAAGCAGATGTAGGGTTGGGGCCGAGGTTGGGGTCGAATTTTGGTGAACCCTGAACCAACAAAAGCCTAAGCCCACAACCCCAAACCCCAAACCCCAAACCCCAAGCCCCAAACCCCAAACCCTAAACCCTAAACCCTAACCCCTAACCCCTAAACCCCAAACCCTAAACCCTAAACCCTAAACCCCAAACTCTGGCTTGGGGGGCTGGGAGTTGGTGGTGGCCTTCGGGGGGCTATGCTTCTTTAGGGTTCAGAGGTTGGGTTCAGGGTGCATTTCCTTTGTTTTGGAAGGGCTTTTTGCGTTGTCGATGGTTGTTTAGTTTACGCTTCTTGTCGGGCATTCTTGGGGTTTAGGGTTTAGGGTTTAGGGTTTAGGCTTTAGGGGGTTAGGGGTTAGGGTTGAGGGCTTCTGCTGTTGAGGTGTTAAGTTGGGGAGGCTTGGGCAGACCAAAACATCAACATCGGATCAGCAGCATCCGCCACAGCAGCGGGGAACGTAACTCCAAACATCTGCACCCAAAAAACCTGTATTGAAACCCTCACAAAAGCCCATCAGCCCAAGCCGTACACCCCCAAAGGGCTCAAGCCTCAGAGCACAAGTCTGTACCCAGCTCCCAAAACACTAGCCTCCACATCCAGATGCCCCCTACATCCCACAAGCCACTTTGCCCGGCTAAGCGTCAGGTCTTGCGGTCTAGGGTCTACTTGAAGGTTCATCTTGATCATAGTTACCCTACATACAGCCCTGCATAGAAGTACCCGAAACCCTGACTCCTAAACCCATGAACCTCCAAGTGCAGCATTTAGGGGTTGGTTGGGTTTAGGGTGTCCCCAAAACCCTCGAAATCCAAAGCTCATAGAGCAGAAGCCCTGAACTCTAACCAACGGTGAGAACCCTTCACCCTTAAGCCAAGCCTTGAACCCTCAATCCTTAACCCTGAATCCTAAACCCTAAACCCTAAACCCTAAACCCTGAATTCAGTCCTTATGCTCTACACGAAGTACCCGGAACCTCGAACCCTAAGCCCCCCATACCCCACGAGGCACTGATCTCGCCAGCAGGCGCATGTGGGTATTTAGGTTGTTTTAGGGTTTAGGGTTTAGGGTTTAGGGTTTAGGGTTTAGGGTTTAGGGTTTAGGGTTTAGGGCTTAGGGCTTAGGGCTTAGGGTTCAAGGTCGAGGATTGACAGTGCCTTTACCGGGGGCTTAAGGCATGAGGATATAGAGGGTTTGGGGTTCCCAAACCCTAAACTCGAAACCCTAAACCCTAAACCCTAAACCCCAAACCCCAAACCCTAAACCCTAAATCCTAAACCCTAAACCCTAAACCCTAAACCCTACAAGCTACGAACGGTGCAGGCCTCCGGCTGAATGGCCCCAGCCGGCTGTGCGACACCGGACTTCAGGATGGCGACGTGCTCAGCGCCACGATCCGGGAGCCGGGCCCCGTGATGGAGTCCTACCGCAAGGCCCCAGTGCTCTTTCTTTTTGTATCCTTTCTCTCCCTGTTTTTAGGGTTTAGGGTTTAGGGTTTAGGGTTTAGGGTTTCGTGGGGGTGGGGGGGGGGCCTTTTTGAGCTTCTGGGTTCGCGATATGCGAAGCGGTCGCCGCTGTTGGACGAAGGGCCCTTGTGCTCTTTTACAGTTTGAGGTCTCGCTGGGATGTTTTTTGTGTTTGGTAGCGCTAAACCCTAAACCCTAAACCCTGAACCCCAATGGCACCCTGGCAGGCACGGGCCTTTGCTGCCATCGTCGGTGATGCTGGGAACGTCGTGACATGGGGAGCTCCACATGGAGGTGGGGACACTCAATGAGGGTTTAGGGTTAGGGTTTAATTTAGGGTTTAAGGTGAGGGGTTTAGGGTTTAGGGTTTGGGTTTGGGGTTTAGGGCTTCGGGTTTGGGGTGCCCCAAAAATATTAGGGGCCGCCCGAAAACAGTAACTCCCCCAAAGGGACCATCATTTAGAGACGTGGCCACATGGGAGGTGGGGACAGCACTCGCGTTCAGAGCCAGCTCCTCGACGTGCCTAGATTCCCCTGAGGAAATATTTTTGTTTTTGTTTATATACAACCCAAGAGGATTTTCAGAATTTTTTTTTTAAAGGGTTCTAAGGGGAGTCTAGGTGCAGCACGTCCACATCTCTGAGTTTGCCTGCGCCGCTCTCCGGGCAGATGCTTGGTTTGGGGTTTGGGGTTTGGGGTTTGGGGTTTGGGGTTTGGGGTTTGGGGTTTGGGGTTTGGGGTTTGGGGTTTAGGGTTTAGGGTAACTTGGTAGCCCAGTGGTGCCCTTTACCTTCTATTTCGTTATGGGTTCCCTTATGAAAAGAAGCTAGCCAAAAAAGGGTGCCCTTATTATCGTATGGTTGCTGGGCTAGCAAGGATGGAAGCGTCGTGACGTGGGGCTCGACCCTGGCCGGAGGTGACAGTCAAGATGTCAGCCATTTGCTTCGCGACGTCGTGGAAGTTTGTGCGACGAACTCGGCCTTTGCTGCTGTAAGGCTTGATGGTTCCGTGGTCACATGGGGAGACCCTGAGAATGGAGGGGACAGCACACATGTTCAGGACAAGCTGAGACACGTGCATAAGGTCTACTCGTCAAGCACCGCGTTCGCGGCCATCACCTCTGAAGGAGCCGTTGTGACCTGGGGTGCCAGCACGGGAGGAGGCGACAGCAGTGCCGTGCAGGGCGAGTTGCTGGATGTGCAGCAGATCCATGCGAACCGTACCGCCTTTGCCGCCGTCCGGGCGGACGGCCGCGTTCAGACCTGGGGCGCGCTGGCGAGCGGCGGCAACAGCTCCCATGTCCAGGAACGGCTCCTTGATGTTTGTCAGATC